TCCTTCAATTTAAAAGTGAACACGAAGTCCTCACAAAAAAACATTCTGAACAGATGTTTCAATCACAGCAAAATGCAAATGCAGAAATTGATTCGCTGAATAGCAAAATAGATGTGCTTAACAAAGATCGGGAAGAACTCAGAATGGATAAACACATATTGCAACAGCTACAGATGCGTTTAGAAAGTGATTATCATACATCACAGGAACGCTTAAAAACATGTGAAGAAAAACTAAGAGCAGCAACAAACAAGATTTCTGACGTGGGGCGAGTTTGTCTGGAACTCAGAGAAGACCGTGAACAGAGTTCAGGTAACCCACAACCACCTCAGAAAGACGCAGTTGCACCTCCTGCTCGTAATCCACCCTCACATAAAGTGGCAGGAACAGACCTGAACAGGTCTCCTCCACAAAACATGCAACAGAGTGCATGGAAACTGTCTCCTTCAATGGATGATTTGCAAAAAATCTCAAAATATGTACAACGCTTCGTTCCTGGACCGATGGGCTCATCTGGAACAAAAGCGTACCTCAGAGAACTGGAGTTCAGATTGAGATCTTATCCTAATGCTACGGTAGAGGATAAGATCAGTCTGATAAGACTCACTTCGGACAGAGAGGTGTTCACCTTCATCGAACGTCTACCTGATGCAACGAGAAAGGTTTACAACCTTCTGTGTGAAGCTCTGATCAAAGAGTACGACCCCTGCACGGGACCAGCTGGATACCCAGCCGCAGACAAGGTCACGCAGGGTAAAGCTGAACATCCAAAAGTTTATTACAAAAGAATCTTCCAAGCTTATTTTGGTTACAGAAATGAAACCGGAATGGAGGAAGAAGAAAATTTTAAATTTGTTTTCAGCAAAAATCTCCACACTGACATACGCATGTCAGTACAAATTATGGCAAATTTCAGAGAAAAATCCATAAATGAGATTAAACAGTGTGCTGTGAATGTGTTTGAGGCACGTTCTCATGCTAAGACACCCATAGAGGTGTTTCCTGGTGTAAAGGTTAAACCCCACTCCCTAGAAATGGAAGGAAGGTGCACGCCACCTCCTCCTAAATCAGGCGAGAAAAGGCAGTATTTTCAAACTAACAAACCGCATAATGAAGGTGCAAACTGGGACAAAAAGGCTCCTCTTTCAGAGGATGAACGTGATTATCGTATATGGGACATGCGTAGGACGCAAGAATATGGGATCCAAGAGGACCCATATTATCATGGGAAATCCGAAGAGGAACCCCCAAAAGACGTACCTAGCCGCCTCCCACCTCGGACGAAACGTCCCGAGGCGAAAAAATCACAAAAGTTCCAGGAACAAGGCCCTAAACCTCTGAGCTCGGAAGAGAAAGAGGAAATGCAAAGGTTTTTAGACACTTTGATACACGCTGAAATGGGAACCCAACCAGGAGCACAATGTAGTGATCTGATCGCTACTAACTCTGAAGGCGCGAATGACAACATTACAGATGTCGGTGAAACACACCAAGACACTGCTGTTATTGCCTCCAACAACCCCTCATCGGATGAAGGGGGGATAAACACACACACAAACGATGACGAGTCATCGCAAACTGAAAACTCAGAACCTGACCTTCATGATTTTGAACTAGGCATTCCAGTTCTGGGAGGACTCCCAGACAATCTGGTACCGAGTCAAGAAGCTGGGCCAGTATGTTTCACGAAACCATCACAGGCCATCGCTCTTTTCTCAACCAATGACGTCGACCAAGGACCACAAACCTATGGTGCCTTGCCCATAGACAGGTCCGTCGACTCAGAAAAGGATTCATTGGAGCTCCCCATGGAGCAAGAACCCTCATCAGTCTCATCACAGATTGAACAGGTGGTCGCTCAAGCCGACACTCTGACATCTGATGAAGAAAGAGACAAACTTAGCCAAGTTCTTTTAAAATATGAAAAGTCAATTTCAACTGACCCAGACATCATCCAACTTCAGAAGTTGGATGATCCTGCAATTAACTCGATGATACTGTATCTGACTGACCCAGACAAATACACTCCATCGAAAGTCAAACTGGATTCCGATCCAGACCTAAAAGTCCTCTTTCAGCTGCGCAAACAGTTAAAACTACTCAAGGACAACCTAACTTTAGCTCATGGAGTGACGTCCTCACCCGTGTTCGCAGTCTCCCATGACCGAAGGGGGGTGACGCCAGTTAGGATAATGCTACCAGACGCGATAACATGATCAAATCTGACATTCAGAGTGAGTGGCGCACCGAAACGTTGTTTCCTAGTTGCTTAATCACTGCTTTTGTCGATGTTGAAACGTTGTTTTACTGGTTGCTTAGTCACTGTTCTTGTCGATGTTGAGACATCGTTTAATTGGTTTTGGTATTGTTTTCGAACACCCCAGGCAAGAATGAATTTTGTTGTGTAGTAAGTTAGAGACTAAGAGGCCTTTAACCATGCCAACATGCAGTTCATTCATTAAATTGCAATCTTTGCGGAGTCAATGTATATTATTGCTACTTTGAGTACCATAATCTACATTGATCTCACAACGCTTAAGCCGAACCTACTCGAACAATTCTATTCGGGGGGATAGCTAATTCTTTTTGATAAGTCTCGCCATAGACTTCCAAAACATTTATGGGGAAACCAAACACCCAATCTCAAGTCGTTCGTCTAAAAGACAACAGACAATTGCACCAAACTATATTTTACCATGTAAAGCTAACTTAAACCAAGTTAGAAATGGAAAAATAGTTTGGAACACTTTTCTATAGGCATAAACCCCTGTAGTTACCCTTGTCAGCATGCTCCACCCCTTAACTGGTAGTTGTAGCTGTTCCCAACCATAATAGCTTACACACCAGATGCATATAGTTTAAGGCCTTATGTAAAATCCTCTTCATAAGCCCACCTTAAACCACATAATTGCATGACACATTGAACCAGAACGGCACAGGCTGGACGTCGCTGGAGACAACCTTCGCTGGAGGCGACTTGCAATCCTGACGTTGGTCTCCACTCTTCATCCAGTGGCCGCTTCTTCAGTTCAACCCAAGGGTACCCCTCTGTATGCTGATTAATCAACGCTTCCAATCGTTGTGGATTTACCGTTGTGGATTATATGACTTTTTCAAATGGATTACAGACTCTGTCTCCAAGGGGTTAAAGCATTGCTACAATGGAATTACCAACAACATTATGGAATTATCATCAACACAATGGAATTACCATGAACATTGTGGAATTACCTTGACTTTGTTTCCTTGCTGGATTACTTCTGACTTTGGTCTTCCTTGCTGGATTACTTTTGACTTTGGTCTTCCTTGCTGGATTACATCAAGCTCAAGGACATTTGAAGGTCTAAGTTCACGGTTGGAATTCATCCCCATGGACAGGCGATGATTTCCAAAGGGGGGACTGTAGTGAACCTGATCTGACCTCAAATTCTGATCAGATGAACAAAGACTGTTATTTCATTGATCTGCATCCAGAAATACAGTTTGAGCCAT